TCAAAATATTCCTGAAAAAGCACCGTACACCAACGCTGTGTGCAAAAATCCCAATGGGATGCAAGTCAAACAACAACAACAACCACAAGACAACTAAGATTAAAGGCCATCAGTCTAACTCCGTACTACAACAGACATGGCCAAACCAAAAAACGTTTTCGACATCACTAAAATAAAACCATAAAAGCAATGTAACAGTGATCATAGGAACTGTGACCGAATTTTCACAATAAACGACATAAACAACGTGTATAACTAAACCCTAGAGCCATAGCTGGCTGCATGAGTCACTCCACAACAACAGGAGCATCAGTCGGAGTATTACATTTTTCAATGCACCTTTAAGAGCAGCACACAATCAAAATACAGATAATACTTTGCAGCGGTCATCCGGAGCGAAACATTTTATTTTATTTTAGGCCACTGAATAGCAGTGGCAGCTAGGGGTGTACAACTCCTTTAGAGCAGTGAGTGAAGATCTCATAGGTAGTGATTCAAGTTGCAGTTTATAGCATTCTAGATCCTGGGGGCATCAATAGCAAAGGCCCTTCCTCCAGTTTTTGTACGGCAATAGGGAATGTGAAGCTGGTAAATGAGCGAAGACCTGAGGTCAAATTTGTTCTTTGAAACAGAGAGGAGATCCAGCAGGTAGTCTGCGGATTTTTGTAAGTACATCGTGAATAAATAAGATCTGGTGCACAAGCCGTCGAACATTAAGAGATGTTAAGTTTGACCCAATGTAGAGATCACAGTGGTGAGTCCTATATGGGCAGTTCAATGCAAATCTTAAGGCCGAGTGATAAATGGAATCAAGCTTCTTCAGTACAGTACTTGGGGATGATTTATACACGATGTCACAGTAGTCAAGTAGAGGCAGTATGGTAGCTTTTATCAATTCCAAACGGAACATTGGGAGGAAGCAGTGCTTGTGTCGATACAGAAAACCAATTATTATTTTTGTCTTTTTACCAATATAATCAATGTGATCTTCAAAATTCAGTTTTGAATCCAGGATGATCCCAAGATACTTATATATCTTGACTTGCTCTATTTGATAAATAATTTGGTTCTTTCGGTAAAGTCGAAAGGCCTTTAGAGGCTGACTCCTTTGCCTGGTGACGACCGCTTGTTGCGATCGAAACGTCGTGATTTGTTTCATTTTATTTCTAACTACCTGACTTTACTGAAAGAACCAAAGAGTATAAAAACATGCTCTGGTAGTATATGATGATGCGTTGTCTTTGAAACTGATTGGCCCAAACCAGAGACAGCTTTTTTTTAGAGCCTCGTCTCTAACAGCGTTCGACCAGCGGACGCCAAAAGGTCGAACACAGCGCAAGGACAATGCCACTTATCAGGACATTAAATCCAGCAGATGTTCTTGCCCTGACCCGGCATGCGTCCGTGATACCGTGCATCAATGTGTGTGGCGCACGTGGAACTCTGTCGCCCCGTGTCGTAGCCACCCGCACTGGCGGCAATAAACTAAACGCCAAAAAAAAAACCGCGTGGATGATGCGCTGGTGATTGATTACACGAGGCCATGGGGCTGCACGGAAGTCGAGCAGCCTCCTGTTGCCCGTTGTCGAGCTGATCTGGCGCATGCCCTGCCATCACTCCGGCCCAGATGCTAGCGTCATGATGCCACTCAGACCCGATGAGATGCCTCCGTCCCGAGGGGCCAATTTAGCCATCGCTTAAGACGGGAGGTCCATACAGCGGCATCCGACTTATCGGCCCTGCCTCCCTCCATCAGCGTCACACAGCGGGGAGCGGTGGCGTGGTGGTTTGCGCACTTGCGCTAAGAAGCCGCCGACCTAAGTTCACACACACACACGTGTGTACACATCTGCACGCACACAGTCACACACGGACACAGTGACGCACAATTACACGCGCACAATCAGTCTTACAATAGGCATAGACAAAGATCCCCCGTACAGCCTGTAACAGACTGTAGGGGCAAGACCTGGCGATAGACACAGAGAGACACAGAAACGAGAGAGAGAGATGCAGGCAGTGGAGATACACGGGGATAGAGAGAGAGAGACAAACACATCGAGACAGACAGGCCAGACGGAGACACATAAAGAGACGCACAATGACATCGGCCAGATAGATACAGAGACTGACAGTGATATAAGCGAGACAAATATACTGATAGAGACACAGATAGACAGAGGAGCAAAGCGGAGACAACCATGTAGACACACACACAGCTGGGACAGGATGGACAGACAGAGACACGGAGCGATGTAGAGACAGAGACACAGAGAGAGATAGAGACACATAGGCACAGGCAGAGACACATAGAGAGTGAGACACAGACAGAGACACAGGCAGAGACACATAGATATACGAGACCCAGAGAGACAGAGACACAGAGAGACAGAGAGAGACACACACTGAGACAGAGAGAGATACGAGATACAGAGAGATAGACAACACAGAGAGACAGAGACACAGGCAGAGACACATAGACACAGGCAGAAACACATAGAGAGAGACAGAGACACAGAGACACAGGCAAAGACACAGAAACACAGGCAGAGACACATAGAGAGAGAGACAGAGACACATAGAGAGAGAGACAGAGACACATAGACAGAGGCAGAGACACAGAGACACAGGCAAAGACACAGACACAGGCAGAGACACATAGAGAGAGACGCATAGACACAGGCAGAGACACAGAGACAGGCAGAGACACAGGCAGAGACATAGAGAGAGTGAGACAGAGACACAGGCAGAGACATAGAGAGAGACAGAGACACAGAAAGAGTGAGACAGAGAGAGTGAGACAGAGACACAGGCAAAGACACAGACAAAGGCAGAGACACATAGAGACACAGGCAGAGACACATAGAGAGTAAGACAGAGACACAGAGACACATAGAGAGTGAGACAGAGACACAGACACAGAGACACAGGTAGAGACACAGAGAGAGAGACACGTAGACACAGAGACACAGGTAGAGAGAGACAGAGACACAGGTAGAGACACATAGAGAGTGAGACAGAGACACATATAGACACAGAGACACAGGTAGAGACACAGAGACACAGGCAGGGACACATAGAGAGAGACAGAGACAGAGACACAGAGACACAGGCAAAGACACAGAAACACATGCAGAGACACATAGAGAGAGAGAGACAGAGACACATAGAGAGAGAGAGAGACAGAGACACATAGACAGAGGCAGAGACACAGAGACACATAGAGAGTGAGACAGAGACACATAGACACAGAGACACATAGAGAGAGACAGAGACACAGGTAGAGACACATAGAGAGTGAGACAGAGACACATAGACACAGAGACACAGGTAGAGACACATAGAGAGTGAGACAGAGACACATAGACACAGAGACACAGGTAGAGACACAGAGACAGATAGAGACACAGAGACACAGGTAGAGACACAGAGACACAGGTAGAGACACAGAGACACATAGACACAGAGACACATAGAGAGAGACAGAGACACAGGTAGAGACACATAGAGAGAGAGACATAGACACAGAGACACATAGAGAGAGACAGAGACACAGGTAGAGACACATAGAGAGTGAGACAGAGACACAGAGACACAGGCAGAGACATAGAGAGAGACAGAGACACAGAAAGAGTGAGACAGAGAGAGTGAGACAGAGACACAGGCAAAGACACAGAGACACAGGCAGAGACACATAGAGAGTGAGACAGAGACACATAGACACAGAGACACAGAGACACAGGTAGAGACACAGAGACACATAGACACAGAGACACATAGAGAGAGACAGAGACACAGGTAGAGACACATAGAGAGAGAGAGACACATAGACACAGAGACACATAGAGAGAGACAGAGACACAGGTAGAGACATAGAGAGTGAGACAGAGACACAGAGACACAGGCAGAGACAGAGAGACATAGGCAGAGACACATAGAGAGTGAGACAGAGACACAGAGACACAGGCAGAGACAGAGAGACATAGGCAGAGACACATAGAGAGTGAGATAGAGACACATAGACACAGAGACACAGAGAGAGACACAGAGACACAGACAGAGACACATAGAGAGAGAGACAGAGACACATAGAGAGTGAGACAGAGACACAGGCAGAGACAGAGACACAGGCAGAGACACAGAGAGTGAGACAGAGACACATAGACACAGAGACACATAGAGAGAGAGAGACACAGAGACACGTAGAGAGAGAGAGACACAGGCAGAAACACAGAGAGTGAGACAGAGACACATAGACACAGAGACACATAGAGAGAGACACAGACAGAGACACATAGAGAAAGAGAGAGAGACAGAGAGATCGGACACAGACACCAATACACCCAGACTGAAAAAACCGAAATGATGAACGAAGCCAAGTGCCGACTACACCGAGCATCTTCTTCTTGATTCCTCTGATCGTGAAAAAAAGAGAGATCGGGTGGAGAGGCAGAGGGAACGAGTTGGAGGAGGGGCTGGGGGGGAGAGAGAGGGGAGAGAGGGCAGAGCGAGAGGTGGAGGGCGGAGAGTGAGTGAGAGAGGAGAGAGAGGGGGGGGGAGAGGGAGAGGAGGGAGGAGAGTGAGAGAGAGGGAGAGAGAGGGGGGAGAGAGGGAGAGAGAGGGGGGGAGGGAGGGAGAGAGAGGGGGGAGAGAGGGAGAGGAGGGAGGAGATTGAGAGAGAGGGAGAGAGAGGGGGGAGAGAGGGAGAGAGAGGGGGGAGGGAGGGAGAGAGAATGGGGAGAGAGGGAGAGAGAGGGGGGAGAGAGGGAGAGAGAGGGGGGAAAGAGGGAGAGGAGGAGAGTGAGAGAGAGAGGGAGAGAGAGGGGGGAGAGAGGGGGAGAGAGGGGGGGAGGGAGGAGAGAGAGAGGGGGGAGGGAGAGAGAGGGGGGAGGGGGGAGAGAAAGGGGGGAGGGAGGAGAGAGAGGGGGGAGGAGAGAGAGGGGGAAGGGAGAGAGAGAGGGGAGAGAGAGGGAGGGGGGCGGGGAGAGGGGGCAGGAGGGGAGCCGCTGTGGAGGGAGACGCGGGGAGGAGCGGGAGAACACGGGGGCCCGGGTCGCCATGGAGTCGCCCTCGGCGAGGAGGGAAATAGCGGACGACGAGGCCGCGGCGGACGTCCTCGCAACGTCGCCCGGACGATCGTGAAGAGGGCCCGGTACCCCTCCACCTTGGGGTAGGGAAAAGCGACGAGGGAAGAAGAAGTAGGGTGGACACGCGGAGGGGAGACGCGGGGAGGGAGACACGCGGAGGGGAGACGCGGGGAGGGAGACACGCGGAGGAGAGACGCGGGGAGGGAGACTAAGAACCGTGGGCCGCATGTAATTGCATCATCACCACCATCATCATCATCACCACCACCATCACCACCATCATCATCATCACCACCACCATCATCATCATCACCACCATCATCATCATCACCACCATCATCAGCATCTTCCGTCTCTTCATCACCATCAGCACCCCCATCGTCATCAGCAGCAGCAGCAGCGGGATTAGCGTTGCTGCTGCTGAATTGGAATAACAATGTCTTCGGTCCGGGAGACGGGCGCGGTTCAGCAGCAGCATCAGCAGCAGCAGCATCAGCAGGCGCAGCAGCAGCATCAGCAGCAGGCGCAATTCGTGGGACCTTACCGCCTGGAAAAGACGCTGGGCAAAGGACAAACTGGTAAGTCCCTGGTCGCCTCGTCGACTCCGCGTGGCTGTTGCCAGCTCTCATCATCATCATCAGCAGCAGCATCATCAGCAGCAGCATCATCATCAGCAGCAGCATCATCAGCAGCATCATCAGCATCATCATCAGCATCAGCAGCATCTTTGACTTCCATTACTAACATCATCCCAGTTATCATCATCAGCCGCAGTATTATTGTCTACCATGAGCATTATCCCAGTCATCTGCATCAGCAGCATCGGCAATATCATCATCATCAGCAGCAGCAGTAAAATTATGATCCCTCTAATTCCGCTGTCTTTCTGCTCATACCGTAGACAATCTCGCATCTCCATCATCATCATCGGCAGTGTCATTGTTATCAGCAGCAACAACACAACGATCTTCAAAAGCACCACCAGCAAAGACAAAGATCCCCCGTGTAGCCTTAACAGACTGTCGGGCCAAGTGCTATTAGCGAGCACCTATGAACGCCGGCACGGCACACGAGGGGGCGGGTGGCCAGCACCACGCCCGTCCGCCTTTGTCTCCCCAGTGGCGATATTCACCCACCGCAGCGGGTACTCATTTGAGGCCGAGTTGACCTAGGGGAGGCTCCAGGACCGGTTCAGATATTGGTACTGGTGGCCGTGAGCGGGAATCAAACTCGCCTCGCCAGGTTCATAGCACGGACAGCGCGCTCACCGCTGCGCCACCGCTCCCCACGCCAGCACCCTCACTACTCAATGTCTCACTACCACGGCCTCGTCTCTTAGCCCAGCACCCTCACTACTCAATGTCTCACTACCACGGCCTCGTCTCTTAGCCCAGCACCCTCACTACTCAATGTCTCACTACCACTGCCTCGTCTCTTAGCCCAGCACCCTCACTACTCAATGTCTCACTACCACGGCCTCGTCTCTTAGCCCAGCACCCTCCCTGCTCAATGTCTCACTACCACTGCCTCGTCTCTTAGCCCAGCACCCTCACTACTCAATGTCTCACTACCACGGCCTCGTCTCTTAGCCCAGCACCCTCACTGCTCAATGTCTCACTACCACGGTCTCGTCTCTTAGCCCAGCACCAATACCCTCACTGCTCAATGTCTCACTACCACGGCCTCGTCTCTTAGCCCAGCACCAGCACCCTCACTGCTCAATGTCTCACTACCACTGCCTCGTCTCTTAGCCCAGCACCCTCACTACTCAATGTCTCACTACCACGGCCTCGTCTCTTAGCCCAGCACCGGCACCGTCGCCTCGCCGTACTTCCATCATCCCCCGTCACGTTGTGTCTCCCCTCTGCTACAATCTCCATCATCCACTACCACCACCACCTCCTCCTCCCTCCGATGGCTACGCATTGTCTCTCTAGTGCCTGTCAGCATTTCTCTGTCACAGCGACAGTCAGCTGTGAGCGTTCCCTCCACCCCAACCCCACGTGTCTCCGCGAGTCTCTCCCCCCCCCCCCCCCATAATTCGTCCACCGTTATAATTTGCGCACCATTAAGATCTCCACCACCTTTGGCTGTGTGTCAGTGTGTGATTGTCAGTGTGTGATCGTCAGTGTGTGATTGTCAGTGTGTGATTGTCAGTGTGTGATTGTCAGTGTGTGTGATTGTCAGTGTGTGTGATTGTCCGTGTGTGTGTGTCAGTGTGTGTGTGTCAGTGTGTGATTGTCAGTGTGTGATTGTCAGTGTGTGTGTGTCAATGTGTGATTGTCAGTGTGTGTGTGTCAGTGTGTGTGATTGTCCGTGTGTGTGTGTCAGTGTGTGTGTGTCAGTGTGTGTGTGTCAGTGTGTGATTGTCAGTGTGTGTGATTGTCAGTGTGTGTGATTGTCAGTGTGTGTGATTGTCCGTGTGTGTGATTGTCCGTGTGTGTGATTGTCCGTGTGTGTGTGTCAGTGTGTGTGTGTCAGTGTGTGATTGTCAGTGTGTGATTGTCAGTGTGTGTGTGTCAATGTGTGATTGTCAGTGTGTGATTGTCAGTGTGTGTCAGTGTGTGTCAGTGTGTGTCTGTGTGTGTGTGTGTGTGTCAGTGTGTGTGTGTCAGTGTGTGTCAGTGTGTGTGTGTGTGTATGTGTGTGTCAGTGTGTGTGTGTGTCAGTGTGTGTGTGTCAGTGTGTGTCAGTGTGTGTGTGTGTGTGTCAGTGTGTGTGTGTGTGTGTCAGTGTGTGTGTCAGTGTGGGAGCGGTAGTGTAGCGGTTAGCGCGCTGCGCTATGAACCTGGCTGCCCGGGTTCGATTCCCGCTCACGATTATCTGAACCGGACCTGGGCCGCCCCTAGGTCGACTCGGCCTCCAATGAGTACCTGGTGCGGTGTGTAAACATCGTCACTGGGGAGACAAAGGCGGCCGGGCGTGGTGCTCGCCACACCGCCCCATCGTGTGCCGTTCCGGCCTTCATAGGTCCTACTCGCTAACAGCACTTGCCCCTAGCAGTCTGCTCCAGGCTACACGGGGGGTCTTTGTCTTTGTCTTTCTGTGTCAATGGGCATGCGAGGGAGCGGTGGCGCAGCGGTCAGCGCACTGCGCTAGGAACCCGGCGGCTCCCGGCGCCACCAGCTCCATCTGAGTCTTCCCCCATCGCTCGACTCAGCCTTAGCAGTGCACCTTGCCGCAGTGTGTAAAATATCGGCGTCGAGGGAGAGACAAAGGCGGCGGCGGCGGCGGCGGCGACGGCCGGGCGTGGTACCCGGCCACATTACCCCCCCATCAGCCCCCCATCACCCCCCCTATCACCCCCCCTATCACCCCCCCCATCACCCCCCCCTATCACCCCCCCCATCACCCCCCCCATCACCCCCCCCATCACCCCCCCCCCCCATCACCCCCCCCATCACCCCCCCCATCACCCCCCCCCATCACCCCCCCCCCCCCATCACAGCACTTACCCCGACATACTGTGTAGCCTACCTGGGGGACCTTTGTCTTCCGTCAATGACGTGCACAGCCACGAATCCCCGTGTCCCCTCCCCCCGTGTGTGACTCTCTCGACCTCTCGAAAAGTCCCACAAACCCCCCCACCTCCCTCTTCACGATCTCTTTTCATGATCTCTATTAACGATCTCTATCTCTCTTCATGATCTCTCTCTTCACGATCTCTCTCTCTCTTCATGATCTCTCTCTCTTCATGATCTCTCGCTCTTCATGATCTCTCGCTCTTCATGATCTCTCGCTCTTCATGAACTCTCGCTCTTCATGATCTCTCCCTCTTCATGCTCTCCCTCTTCATGATCTCTCCCTCTTCATGATCTCTCCCTCTTCATGATCTCTCCCTCTTCATGATCTCTCTCTTCATGATCTCTGTCTTCATGATCTCTCCCTCTTCACGATCTCTCTCTTCACGATCTCTCTCTTCATGATCTCTCTCTTCACGATCTCTCTCTCTCTTCATGATCTCTCTCTCTTCATGATCTCTCTCTTCACGATATCTCTCTCTTCATGCTCTCCCTCTTCATGATCTCTCTCTGTCTTCACGATCTTTCTCTCTTCATGCTCTCTCTCTTCACGATTTCTCTCTTCACGATCTCTCTCTTCACGATCTCTCTCTTCACGATCTCTCTCTTCATGATCTCTCTCTCTTCACGATCTCTCCCTCTTCATGATCTCTTCACGATCTCTCCCTCTTCATGATCTGTTCATGATCTCTCCCTCTTCACGATCTCTCTCTCTCTCTTCATGATCTCTCTCTTCATGATCTCTCTCTCTCTCTTCATGATCTCTCTCTTCATGATCTCTCTCTTCATGATCTCTCTTTTCATGATCTCTCTCTTCATGATCTCTCCCTCTTCATGATCTCTCTCTTCATGATCTCTCCCTCTTCACGATCTCTTCATGATCTCTCTCTTCATGATCTCTCTTCATGATCTCTCTTCATGATCTCTCCCTCTTCACGATCTCTCCCTCTTCATGATCTCTCTCTTCATGATATCCCTCTTCATGATCTCTCTCTTCACGATCTCTCTCTCTTCATGATCTCTCTCTCTTCATGATCTCTCTCTTCACGATCTCTCCCTCTTCATGATCTTTTCATGATCTCTCTCTTCACGATCTCTCCCTCTTCATAATCTCTTCATGATCTCTCCCTCTTCATGATCTCTCCCTCTTCATGATCTCTCTCTTCATGATCTCTTCATGATCTCTCTTTTCATGATCTCTCCCTCTTCATGATCTCTCCCTCTTCATGATCTCTCCCTCTTCATGATCTCTTCATGATCTCTCCCTCTTCATGATCTCTCTCTCTTCACGATCTCTCTCTTCATGATCTCTCTCTTCATGATCTCTTCATGATCTCTCTCTCTTCATGATCTCTCTCTTCATGATCTCTTCATGATCTCTCTCTTCATGATCTCTCTCTCTTCATGATCTCTCTTTCATCACGATCTCTCTTTCATCACGATCTCTCCCTCTTCACGATCTCTCTCTCTTCATGATCTCTCTCTCTCTTCACGATCTCTTCCTTTTCATGATCTCTCTCTTCATGATCTCTTCATGATCTCTCCCTCTTCACGATCTCTCTCTTCATGATCTCTCTTTTCATGATCTCTCTCTGCATGATCTCTTCATGATCTTTTCCTCTTCATGATCTCTCTCTCTTCATGATCTCTCTCTCTTTATGATCTCTCTCTCTTCATGATCTCTCTCTTCATGATCTTTCTCTTCATGATCTCTCTCTCTCTTCATGATCTCTTCATGATCTCTCCCTCTTCATGATCTCTCTCTCTTCATGATCTCTTCATGATCTCTCCCTCTTCATGATCTCTTCATGATCTCTCCCTCTTCATGATCTCTTCGTGATCTCTCCCTCTTCATGATCTCTTTCTCGTCATGATCTCTCTCTTCATGATCTCTCTTCATGATCTCTCTCTTCATGATCTCTCTCTCTTCATGAAATTTTCATGATCTCTCTCTTCATGATCTCTCTCTTCATGATCTCTCTCTTCATGATCTCTCTCTTCATGATCTCTCTCTCTTCATGATCTCTCTCTTCATGATCTCTCTCTCTCTCTCTTCA